CAAAGCCCCAGTAGATAGTTGTATGTCATAGCTGCACATCCTTCTAGTTGCTGTATGTGGGACTCGGCCTCAGGATGGACGGAGAAGTGGTGCCTCGGTGCGCACCCGGGATCCGAACCAGGGCCGCCAGCATCGGAGCGCGCGCACTTAACCACCAAGCCACGGGGCCGGCCCGATAACGCCCTTTATAGCATTTTTACCCTCATCCCCTTGGGCCAGCATCCAATTCAGGATCATGCATTACATTTATTGTCACGCCTCTTTAGCCTCCTTTAATCTGAAACAGTTTCTCAGTCTTTCTTTCACGATAATGACATTCTTAAAAGTATAGGCCAGTTATTTTAAAAAAGGCCCTCAGTTTGAGTTTGTCATGGTGTTCCCTCATGATTACAATGGGGTTATGCATTTTGGCAGGCATATTTCATAAGCAATGGTATGTTGTTCTTAAGGCATCACATCAAGAGGAAAATGATGTTAATTTGTCCCAGTATTGGTGATGTTAACACGGAATATTTGGATAAGGTGCTAAATGCCAGGTTTTAACGCTGTAAAGTTACTATTTTTTCCTTTGTAATTAGTAAGTAATTTGTGAAAGGATACTTTGAGAATATTTAAATATCCTGTTCCTCATCAAACTTTCACCTGCTAGTTGTTTTAGCATTCATTGATGCCTCTTGCCTGAATCATTTATTACTATGATTTATGTGTATATATGTATTTACTAATCAGTGAGTTATAATCCACTATTGTGATCATTTTTTTAAATTCTCAAATTATCTCAAACTTGGCCAGCAGAAGCCCCTTCTACTTGCTTCTCCTTGACATATCCCATCATTTTTTGAGCACTTCCTTGCTTTCTGGTACAAGTTCATGTTCATCTTGTACTTTCCCTTGATCCAGCCCTGGAATCAGTCATTTCTCCAAGGACTCCTGACTCCTTTTAGCAGGAAATGATATTTATAAACCAAGATGAAGTTTTTATGCATTGTTTTGCATGACCCCTTTTCCATTAAAGATAATTTTTTTTTTTTGCTGAGGAAGATTCCCCCTGAGCTAACATCCATTGCCAATCTTCCTCTTTTTTTGCTTAAGGAAGATCAGCCCTGAGCTAACATCTTTGCCAATCTTCCTCCACTTTATATGTGGGACACCGCCACAGCATGGCTGGTGAGTGGAGTAAGTCTGCACCCAGGATCTGAACCCGCGAACCCAGGGCGCCAAAGTGGAGTGTGCGGAACTTTAACCACTCAGCCGTGGGGCCAGGCCCTAGGGATAAAACTTTTTAAAATCATATGTATTAATATATGCATTTATACACATAGAAAAAGACTGAGGATACACACTCCAGTTTCCCTCAAGAACAGGAACAGAGAGGGAGAGAACTTCCATTTTTACTTATTTACCTATCTATATTGCTTTAATAGTACTCCTTGTTACAAAATGTTTATTTCCAAGTGAAAAATTAAAAAAGAATAAATGCGCTTCTTCCTCTTTTGCCCTCCTCAGAAATATCAATCTTCAATGATCAATGCTGGATCCCTTCGTTTCACTAAACCTTCAAGTCAAAATGATGGGCATCACAGCACTACCTTTAAAAACCTATACTTAGTAATTTACTCAATACACTTTTCTCTAGAAGTAGCAGATCCCCAAAGAGACTGTCCATGACATGAGTGTCTGAAGAGGTCAGGAACATTCTACTTGGGACAATCTTATACCACAACTTCTGAAGAATCTCAAAGCTTTGATCAGGTTTTCATACTTACCTTTTTTATTGGTTGTGAAGTACTTGGAGTCAGTCATGGTTTTGGATCTTTAATGTGTACCTAAAGCAAGAGAAAAGAAGTCCTTTATCCAAGTGATTTACATCCAGCAAGACAGTCAATTAATTTTAAGAACATTTATATACAAGAATTTCTATATTTAAAAATGAGTATCTAGAAGCCGGCCCAGTGGTGTAGGGGTTAAGTTCGCACGCTCTGCTTCGGCAGCCCAGTGTTCGCAGGTTCAGATCCCGGGCACGGACCTACACACCACTCCTCAAGCCAAGGTGTGGTGGCATCCCACATACAAAATAGAGGAAGACTGGCACAGATGTTAGCTCAGGGACAACCTTCCTCAAGAAAAAAGAGGAGGATTGGCAACAGATATTTGCTCAGGGCCAACCTTCCTCACCAAAAAATAAAAAAAAGTAAAAATTAAAAAATGAGTATCTTCTTCCTTACCACCATCATTGGGGATTCAAGGGATGCAAAGATAATTAAGAATGTAACTCTTGCCTGAGGAGCTATTTAGGGCAAAATCCAAAGGCCAAATGGAATGGAGTGGTTATGTGAACCTATCACAGCTTTGCGATTGTATCTACAATTATCTCCTCAAAGCCTCCAAGATCTAAGGCTAGGCTGTTTTGTAAATACATCTTCAGTTAGTCACTCAAATATTTAAGATAAGGAAAAGTTTGTTTTGAAAGGTCTCCCCATTCCATTCCATTCAGAAAAATATGATTTACTTCGCTGCCTCAAGATGGAGTCACTCCAAAACACCTATTCTGAAGCTGCGTAAGGGTGAAAGAGAAAATGATTCTGCCAACCTATTCAACATTACATACAACTTTCGATAAAAGGAATCTCTTTCAGGAAAAAAACCCCTAAATTAGTAGGACAATATTCTTTCACAACAAACATCTAGAGAGGCAATCATGCCTTACACATGGATTTTTTTAATTATGCATATTTCCAATAATATACACTTAGCCCAACAGTATTCCCAAAGAATAAATAATATCAGTTTACAGTTAAAAACAAGGCAAAAAAACTGAGATAACTGTTCAGTCACAGTGAGTACAAAAGAGAATCAGAACTGGCGTTAAAACTTAAAAGAACATGGATCACAGCCTCATCTTTAACTCTTCTGTTCCAATTTCCAGAATTAATCCAGCTGACACAAGGCTCCACAGGGCTCCACCAGTAAAATAAAAGCAACATGGACTGGTCATATTTTTCTCCAAATAATGAGACAATGTTTCTGATTTGGGAAACTCTAAGACTTTGTCCAGTGTACTTGACTTCTTTAAATATATTAAAAAATTTTTTTAAATAATATTCCTTCTGTACTCAAAAATGAGTATCTTCTTCCTTACCTCCATCATTAACAATGCTTACTACCAAATTTAGGACAGATGCCCTGGCACCCGCTCATTACCGTCACATCAGTGATAATTTGCCAAACTTGAGTGGTAACACATTTGGCAAACAACAGTAATTATGGATCTGAGAAAAAAGACCTAAGCACTAAACAAATCAATGCAATTAAGGAAAAGGAAAAACAGCCAGATAAACATGAAATAATGAAAAAAGCTTGGCTCAAATCCGATTTCTAAAATGTGCTACTTGGACAATCTAAGGGAAATTAGACCCATTTCCTATCTTTCCAAGCACCTACCTACTATTTCAGTCCTGATCCTTATACAATAGTGCTTTAGGTTGTACCAGAATTTCACTGAACTACCTTGTTAAAACATGGGAGCTAGAACTCACAAATACCATTAGAGAATGCAGAAATTTCTGTTTTGATAATATTTGTTATAACTAAAAATTAACCTGTAACAGAGGCTTGCTTTATGCAAAATTCCTCGCTGGCAAAAATTCAAAGAATGTTATAATCATTTAATCCATTCACAATGTAAACTAAATGTGAAATGGGAAAACCGAAGAAAGGAGCCCTTCACATAAAAGACCTGGAATAGGGGCCAGCCCGGTGGCGCAAGCGGTTAAGTGCGCACGCTCCACTGCGGCAGCCCGGGGTTCGCCGGTTCGGATGCCAGGCGCGCACCGACGCACTGCTTGGCAAGCCATGCTGTGGCACCATCCCATATAAAGTGGAGGAAGATGAGCACGGATGTTAGCCCAGGGCCAGTGTTCCCCAGCAAAAAAAGAGGAGGATTGGCAGATGTTAGCATAGGGCTGATCTCACAAAAAAAGACCTGGAATAAACATGAAGTTATCATCTAAGAACCTAGATATACAAACAAAAAACCAGTCCTCAGAAACGGTTACTAGAGCCAGACAGTGGGGCCAGAGCTCAAGGCCATTATGGTCTGTCTAGAATGTTATTACGCCATTCTAAGTCCTACGGGATCATCAAAACTTAAAACTTGCTTGAGATTAAAAAATAAAATCTGCTTGGAATTTTTCACCCAGTTGCTTTGAAAAGGAGCATAAAAATTGTTCTTTTTTCCAAAGCTCTCATACACATACACAGATATTAAATTCTTAACAGGAGTTTTCAAGACAATCTGTTAAACATTAAATTAACCTATCACTACCTTTAGTAGTGACCCACACATTTTATTACTTCCCCTAAAAAATTTCATTGTCAAGGAATATATTTGCGTCCTATTCAGTGTGAGCAATAAGTGTTTTTAATTTAAAGAGAGTAACGTTCCCACCCACAAAATTTCAGGGAAGAGGAGAGAATCAAGTAATCTTAGATCCTAAATTAAAAATCCCTGCTCTTAAAGAGAAGGGAGAAACATTACACTCAACTCACACTGCTGTAAACAATACTAATGAAATATCCCTTACCCATATTGGCAGAGAAACATTGTATCAAGTCAGTTCCTGCCTTAAGCCAAAAGAAACTCCCAGAAAATGAAAACAGTCTAAACAAAAACAAGAAGAGGTGGTGGTGGTTGCCCAACACCGTGAACATACTAAATGCCACTGAATTGTTCACTTTAAACTGGTTAATTTTGGGCGCCGGCCGCGTGGCGTAGCGGTAAAGTGCGCGCGCTCCGCTGCAGGCAGCCAGGGTTCGGATCCCTGACTCGCATGGAGGCACCGCTTGTCAGGCCACGCTGTGGCGGCGCCCCATCTTTTTTGTTTGTTTGTGAGGAAGATCAGCCCTAAGCTAACATCCATGCCAATCCTCCTCTTTTTGCTGAGAAAGACACATCTGTGCCCATCTTCCTCCACTGTAAATGGGACTCCGCCACAGCATGGCCTGACAAGTGGTGCCTCTGTGCGCGCCCGGGATCCGAAGCGCGCCCGGGATGCGAACCCGGGCCGCCAGCAACGGAGAGCGTGCACTTAACCGCTAAGGCACGCGGCGGCCCCCGCGGCGTCCCATTTAAAGTGGAGGAAGATAGGCACAGATGTTAGCCCAGTCTTCCTCAGCAAAAAGAGGACTGGCATGGATGTTAGCTCTGGGCTGATCTTCCTCACAAATAAAATAAAATAAAATGGTTAATTTTATGTTATATGAATTTCACCTCAAAAAATTACATATGTATAGATTTTTAAAATGTGATATACTTAATCACATGCCAGAGATAGACACAGCCAGAGTCTCCAAAATATAGGACAGTGAAAACTGTTGCCTGCATTAGAAGCCAAAGAAAAAGCCAAGATAGAGCTCAAGAAAAAAATCAAGTATTTGCTGAAGTGTCGCAAAAATCAAGCTCTTCCGGGGGGCGGGGGGGGATTGTGCCTCCAGGAGAACCCCAGGAAAAAGCAAAGCTATCATGGAGTTTGAACTCAAACTACCTTTCTACCAGATCAAACTAGACAAGTCACCGGCTGTTCTGAGGAGTTGTGGTATGGCCTAGCAACACTGCTGAACAACAAAGCTGCCACAGTCAAAGCACACAATCACTCTCACTTGTCCTAAACCATAGTGTGATGTCACTGCATTTCAGAGAAGGCCTCCCTGCACAGGATTATATATCTAGATTCAACATAACCTACTTTCTACTAAATATAGGTTGTGCAAGTCCCTTCTCTCCTTCTATTCCTCCCTTCTTCCAGTCCCACTAAAGAAAATAAAGCTGGAAAAAAATTAATAGGGTTTTAATTTCAAACGGTTCTCTGGGAAATGGCAGCTAAATTAGAGTTGGTGAGGCCACTAAATGCCTTCTTTTCACATAAAGTTGGGCTTTACAGAGTTTGGCGCTCGTAGTGAAAAACTAGCGAAAGAGTTAACCAAATTATAAAACAGAAAGGTCATTCCCGCAATCCTTTATTACAAGGGGGAGAGATGCTAATCCAATATTTTAATAATGCAAAGACAATAGCATCTTCAGGTATCATTTAGCTCATAAGAAAGTACAACGGACCCCTGTGATTTCCATTTAACTAGGACAGACTACAAAGCAATTTGTTAATATTATACAGTAAGAAAGAAGCTCAAGTTTTAGATCCAATTCTTAACTAAAATACCAATCAACTCTGGAAAACTTAAGCCTGAAAGGAAGGAAAGAAGGAAGAAAGGAGAACATGTCCTATCTAACTCATTCCTTGTTCAGCTTGGTTCAAATCTATGCCTAAAATGGAGTATTTTGTTTAAGAAAAATGTAATATTCTGTTTAAGAAAAAAAGAAAAGATGGAAGTATGGACTTTCTTGAGTCTCTTAGTTCACAGAATGTTAGTCTTATATTAATTTTACCACTTAACTTTCAGTGAGGCCGTTTGCAGAACACATTATCCTTTCTGCTTTCTTGGGAGTTTAACTTAAGATACCTGCAAACAGTTCTCACCTTACCACCACGCTTAGTCATCATTGGAATGTGTTACACGTTTTCTTGTACAGCTGCATCTCCTTCATCTGCTGCTATTATTACTTTGTAAGTGTACCCTGAGGCTAAGCAATAGAAGTATACTAGGGAGGTAATTAATAATTTAAATTTTCCTCACTGAGACCACCTTCTTTTGTCATTCTGTCTTTTCTAAACATATTGCGTTTTCTTTACTTTTTCTTTTAAACCACAATGATTACGATAGTGTTTGGCATTTTTAAAAAAACTTCTTTTTAGAAGTCTAAGTTTAATGAAGCATCCACACTTTATTCATACAGCTTCATAATGAAGCAGCCAAGTGAGTTCAGTAAAAGCTTGCCCCCCAAACAGAACACTGCTCTGAAAACCAACAGCATGAATAAATTCTTTGGATTCAAAGAACAGGGAAATAACAGGAAGTTCCAGTTTCTTTACCTCCGGCTTAATCTACAGCCTTTCTCAAACCAGATCATTCCTGCTAAGCCCAGAAAGAAAAAATTCCGGGCTAAGATTTACCCCCACTTGCTTCCCCATCTCTTACATCGGGTCAATTCTGGAGGTTTCTCTTCCCTTCCCCCAAGTGTCAGGAATGCCTCTTCTTTCCCCAGGTGGTCAAGATTCTAGGGATGTGGTCCTCCATTACGAGTAGGGGAGAGGTGTCTCTTAACCTCAAATCACGGGAGACGGGCGAGGTTTGCTCATTAATGGGCAAACGTTGGGGGAATGCCTGTTCCCTTTTATTAGCTGGACACATCCCAGCCCCTCAGTGAACGACGCCAAGTGGGAAAGAAGGAAGGTTCTCCCATCGGCCTCCAGCTTCTACCGGCCACACCCGTGGCCTCTGGCCCGCCTACCCCGACTTGAAACACATTTTCCCCCCGGCGCCCTCCAATTCCCAGCTGCCACACCCGAGGATTCCCTCGCCCTGCCAGAGCAGTAGAGTCCCTTTCTCTAACCCTCTCCCTCCCAACGGTCACACCCGACGGCTCACTCCATCCTCAACGGTCATGCTCCGAGGACTTCCTTTCCTCCGCCCGTCTCCAACCCAAGCTGGGATTCCCCCCATCTCCATCAATGCAGGACACACCCCAAAGTTAGCCGCCTTAAACTCACCGGAGGCAAGGACCGGGCGGTGGCGGCAGCAGCCAGGGAGCACGGCCCGAGTGGTGTTGTAATGGTTTCCTGCACGTCACGACTCCTCCAGGTCTAAGCCACTGCGCAAAAGCCACTTTGCCAGGGACAAAGATGGTGGACAGGAAACTCTGATGTCAGAGAACCTCGCCGCGTGACGTCATCTCGGCGCGCGGGAGAACCCAACGGCGGTGGTCTCTGTCGCCTTGCAGGCGGAAAGATTTTTTTTGCTTGGTCGGAAAGAGACCTGCGACTCGGGTCTCAGAGAAAGTTCAGTGGCTATCCGAAGGGCTATATTAAACAAGCTGACGTTCCCTGGATTTTTTTTCCTCGCACAGTTCTCTAAAAAACTTACACTCAGAGAGGGTGAAATATCCTGTTCCTTTCTTTAAAAAAAACAGCTCATTTCCCTGGCCACTTAAGTAGTGTGGGCAATGCTGATCCAGCCCAGGACTACACACTGGCAGTGGGACTAGAGGAGAGTGGTGCAAGGAAAAGAGGTTAGGATGGCATTAGATCGAGTTCCAATCCCTGCCCTGAATGTGACTGGGAAAGTTACTTAATGTCCCTCCAACTTTAGTCTTCTTATCTGTGAAATTAGGCCAATGCTATATCTCTTTCCAGCTTGTGAAGCTTAAATGGGATAAAGTAGTAAAGTAGGTAAAGCACCTAGCATGTAATCGGTGTGTTTACACAAACGTAGGTTCATTTCAGAAACCAAGACCTAGAAATCTGTTATCTTCCTCTCAATTTTGCTGTGAACCTAAAACTGCTCTGAAAAATACCAAGTATTTAATTAAGAAAAAAAAAAAAAAGTGGAGTGAGAGAGCCTGGGGACCAAAATGCCAAGGGGACTGAGAAGGAGCAGTCAGAGAGGTAGAAGGAAAAGCAGACGGTTATAATATGTTAGGATGTTTTTAGAGTTCCATGAAAGTAGGAACAGTACCAATCTGTTCCTTCTTCTATCTCTGAGGTCTAGCACCCCTCCCCATAATTTGTTGAAGGAATAAACGTATGAATGAGTGGTCAACAGTATCAGTTGCTATAGAGAGAAGAAAGAAGGTCTGAAAAGTGTCCAAGGATTTAGCAACACAAAGGTCTTTGATGTCAATGCTGAGAACATCGGTAAAGATATGAAGGCAAAAGCCACGCTGAAATTTAAGGATGAATAGGAGGTGAGGAAATGAAAACAGGAGTTACAGATAACTCCGTAAAAAAGTATGGCTGAAAACAGAAGAGATATAGGATGGTATTTGAGGAAGACAGTAGCAAGGATTTTTTTTTTTTAAGTTTGATACTCATACATTGTCTTTACATTATTCCTTTAGAAATACCATGGGTTCAACTATCTTATCTACCCATATGACTGAAATCTCTATTGCTAGCCTTAACCTATTCCCCAAACTTCACCACCAAATTGCTAACCACACTGATGGGTAATTCTATATTTATGTCCCACTCACATTAAGCATCTCATAAGGGGATGGGGGGGATGTTTGAAAGACTGGCTTTCAGATACAACTCCCAGCAGATAGAGGTGGACTTCGTAAAGATGCCACCAGAAAAATCTTAAAGAACTTCGATTCATACTTCTCTCCTGTTCAAAAACTTTCAACTGCTCCTTGTTGCCTAATATATCCAAATCCTATTCTTCCCCCCGTTTTCCCCATCTCTGTACTCTTTTCTTTAGTTTTGTCATCTATAGAATGGGAAAAATAGTAATATTCAATCATAATATTATTACAAGGATGAAATTAATTTGTCTATGTAAAGCACTTAGAACTATGCCTGCACATAGTATGGACTATGTAAATATTTTCTATGATTGTTTCAATAAATTATACTGAATTGCTCAAACCAGAAACCTGATGGATATTCTTGATTTCCCTCTCTCCCTTAATGCCACATCCAATCCATCTCCAAGTTGTCAACCCAACCTTCAAAATATCTCAAATTCATCCAATCCCCTTTATTCCACCTCATTAGTCCAAGCACCATCACCTCTTGCCTGAACTACTAGAAACCTCAACTCTCCTCCCAACCTTTATCCACAGCGAAGCTAGGTTTTTAACTTTTTTTGAAGTATAACATTCAAAAAAAAAGGGCACACATCATAAATATAAAGCTTGATGAATTTTCACAAAATAAACATAACTATATATCCATTACAGGGTCATCTTAAGAGTACAAACCTAATCATGACTCTGGTGTATAAATCCTTTCATGGCTTCCCATTGCACTTGGACTAAAATAAAGTCTCCATCCCACAGCCTATGAGTCCCTATGATTTTGGCCCCCGTCTTCCTCTCTAACATCATTTTATGCCTTTCAGTCACACCTCATTTCCTCCTCATTTCACCTTTTGCTAGCTATTGTAGCCCTCAAATAATGCCACGCTCTGTCCCATTTCAAGGCCTTCACAAATACTGCTCCTCCTGCCTAATATGCTTTTCCCCCAGTGCCTCACATGGCTAGCTCCCCATAATTTAGGTCTCAGTTTCAGTGTAATCTCTTCAGAAAGGCACTCCCTGATTACCCAAGGTTCTGTTCTTCCAGCTCCCTCTGCCACCCCCATCCCAGCCCTCTTATTCAATTTGTAAATTATGTATTTATTAGTTTACTTACTTATTATTTCCCTCCCCAACTAGAACGTAAATTCCATGAGGGCAGATACCGCATCTCTTTTTATTACTATTTTATACCCAGCACGTAACATAATGCCTGGCACATAGGAGGTACTCCATATTTATTGAATAAATTAATGAATGTCCACAAAGTACTAAAATTAGCATTTAGGACCCTCTGTAATTCACCTAAATCTACTTTTCAACATGTTCTCTACTATTCCTTTCTGTGGCTCTATGGTTAAAGCAAACTAAACAATTTCCTCCTTATATATACTCCATCCTGCTCCCTTAGCTTGGAAAGCTCTATCACCATTACTGTGACTTGCCCCAAATGTACTCATCTTTTGAGGTCCACCTAATCCACAAAACTTTCTCAGTGGCCATCTGTTATATGAGGTACAGGAGGTACCAGGTTACATCACTGTATTAGAAAGCAACTGGCAGACAGAAGCTGAGATAAAATAAGAGGTTAGAAACATTCTTTCCGGGGCCGGCCCTGTGGCTTAGCGGTTAAGTGCGTGCTCTCTGATGCTGGCGGCCCGGGTTCGGATCCCGGGCGCACACCGGCGCACCGCTTCTCCGGCCACGCTGAGGCTGCATCCCACGTACGGCAACTAGGGGGATGTGCAACTGTGACATACAACTATCTACTAAGGCTTTGGGGAGAAAAGGGGGGAAAAAAAAAAGAGAGGAAGATTGGCAATAGATGTTAGCTCAGGGCCGGTCTTCCTCAGCAAAAAGAGGAGGATTGGCATGGATGTCAGCTCAGGGCTGATCTTCCTCACACACACAAAAAAAGAAACATTCTTCCTTTTGTTTGGTTACCTAAACTAAAATGATTCTGTTTAAGCTAGTCTGAATGGCCTTATTTCTCCCAGCTGGTTGTTCTCTCGTCCTCTAAATTCATATCATATTAACCTATCTGATGGCTCTTAATCCTTTTAACATAAGTGCTATCATTTTTTATGTGTCTTATTTCATCTATTACACTATAAGCCTGAAGGTGGGATTTGTAATGAGGTGTTTATTATTTGTTGGCTGTAATAATTGACATGTTATTTTTGACTGTAATAACTTTTTTCTCATGTAATAACTTCAGTTTACTTTTGGAGTATTCTCAAAGGACTATTAATCAAGGTGTCTTGCCCTCTCTTCTGGCTAAGTGAAACAGTGGAGAGGAAATCTGAACCAAGGTAGGTCAATAGGAATTTGAATCATAAGTACAGTGACAGACAGAAATTTGTTGCAGCTCATTCATTGTATGTTGCCTGGATGAGAGTTTGCCAATGCTTGCTAGAGACGTTCCTGTTCTTTCAGAGCTGGCTTTCCTTTTGTTAGCTACTCCATATACTTCTAATAAATTTTTTACTTTAAATTAGCCTGTTTCTGTTGCTTGTAACCAAAGAACCCTAATTGATACAAATGTTTAATTCCCTACTTCTCTCATTTTATTTATTTATTTATTTGTGTGAGAAAGATCAGCCCTGTGCTAACATCTGCCAACTCTCCTCCTTTTTTTGCTGAGGAAGACTGGCCCTGGGCTAACATGGGTGCACCTCTTCCTCCACTTTATATGGGATGCCCTCACAGCATGGCTTGCCAGGCCCTGTGTGGGTTCGCGACGGGATCCGAACTGGGGAACCCCAGGCCACCGCAGGAGAGCGCACGCACTTAACCACTTGCGCCACCGGGCTGGCCCTCCCCACTTGTTTTGGTTGATGCTATTTCTCAACTTTGTCTTTCTGCTGTTCACTTAAGAAAAAGCTGTATATAATAGCTACCATTGATTGGGCACCTAGTATGTACCAGCTGCTTTATGTAGATACATTAACTCTAGTCCTTAAAATTCTGTAAAGTAAAAATCTTATTTCAGTGTGATTTTTCTCCGGAAGGTATTTTGGTAGAGGAAAAAACACTTTTTAGAACTATAATTATTGTTAACTTGCAAGATTTTCTCTCCTATTGAAATAACTAAACCCAAATCGTATTTTTTGAGGGTTCTCATGCAAACCAATTATCTGCCTTTATACCATAACGTTCTCTAGGGCAGTGAATAATACCTTCTATTTCTAGCTGTTGAGCTCAGGGGTCGGGGAGGGGTTGCAGAGAGACAGAAGTTGAACTTGAACGCTTATCCAAATTCAATAAAACTTTATCAGCAACTCAAACGCGGCAAAGTTGCAAACGATGTAAAAGCACTTTGCTAACCGTAAGATAAACTACACGAACTTTGGTATGCAAACAATGAAAAGTACCTTCTCTGTCAAGTCTCCCCAGTTCACTAGGATCCCTTGTCTTAGCACTATATTCATATCACTAATGTGACACATCCTACCGTGTACGAGGGTAAGAACCATTTACATCTACCGTAACAAGTGCCTAGTTATGCTTGAATGTAACGAAACCTAGAAGACAGTTAAACCACCGGCTTGAATGAAAAGTGATTATCTCAAGTTTTGAGGAACAGCGTGAACCTTTCCCATTCTAATCTTTCTTTATAGTTGGCGGCAATAATGCTAAGACTTTCATCCCCAGCTACGTCGCTTCAAAGCCTTCCCGGAAGTGGCTGACCATAAAGCAATCCCTCTCCCCCCTACAGAGAGAGACTTCGCATCTGCCTATTCCTTTTTGTCCCTCCGCCCCTTACTCGCTCGCCCCCGGAAACGAAGGCCTCAGCCGCCGGCCCGAGCTCTTGCTCTAGGTGCCACACGTCGGCGCGGTGCCCCAAACACCTTGTCAAAAAAGCCTCCGCAGAGACAGATTCACAGCTGTGGCTTTCCACCCAGGCTGCGATGCAAAACAACGAAAGTAGAACAACCGAGCAGACACATCCTTCCCACACGAGCCCCAAGTGCCGCCTTTAATTTCAGCGGGGCGGAAGCGGAAGTCCTGGGAGGGTCATAGAGTTTTCTAGTTCCGGTTTCGGGGCCGCGTTCGGGGCTAGAGCGCCTCTCCGCCTGCCGTCGCTAAACCCCGGCGGCTTGTATTTCCCGGTGCGGCTTCTGTCACACAGCGGTCCAGTCAACTGTGGCGTCGTGGGTCCTTCGCGCCTCTCCGGGGGTCAGCGCCCAAGGACGGGCGCGGGCGGGGGTACTTGACAGCCAGCAGCTGGAGCCAGTCCTCGCGTACAGGCCCGCACTGGCACCTCCGGCCTCAGAGCCCGCTTCGTTTTGAGCCCTCACGATTGCGAGTCGCTGATTCGCAGCAGCCTCCAGGACTGCAGCTCGAGAGGACGGCGTCCTTTGCCCATAAGCTGTCCCCCATAGTCACGCTCTGCACTGTGAGGTGCAGCATTTGACGAGTCATCCCACACACCCACACCTCTTGCACCCACGTCTGCGTTAACTTCGCTCTTAACTTCCTAAATTTGAGACCCCTCCCCTCTGCCTCCAGAAGAGGTCTTTCCCCCCGCCGCTTCCGTAAAATTGAGAGTTAGGAATTCCGGGTATCCTGCAGAAATCTTACTTTTAAGACTGAGAACCCATTTAATACCCCCAGAAAAGTTCATGCTTACTATAGAATTGGTGGGCAAAGTGACACCAAGTGCACACAGGAAACTATGGCCGAGCATGGGGCTCACATCACAACTGCTTCTGTGGTGGATGACCAGCCATCCATCTTTGAGGTGGTAGCACAAGACAGTTTAATGACAGCAGTGAGACCTGCTCTTCAGCATGTGGTCAAGGTAAGATTAATTCTCTGAAAAGTCTTAGGGACGACTGGGTAAAAACAAAACCAAAAATTTGAGTTTATTTGGTAGTCTACCTTTTGAAATAACCAATTAGCATATAATTCATATCCTATGATTTAACTGTTATTGAGTCCCTGTTATGTCTAGAGCCCTAAACTGAATACCCAGCACTTCAGGGTGGTTACAGGAGACCCCAAAAGAAGTGACTTGTTTAAGCCCAAAGTGTAGAATTTAGAGGAAAAAAAGGAAATATAAATACAAGGCATAGTAGCTTTGTAATGGAATGAATTTCACTTACTGATTTATTTTGCTTTAGGTTCTTGCAGAATCAAACCCTGCCCGCTATGGCTTCCTTTGGAGGTGGTTTGATGAAATCTTTACCCTGCTAGATCTTCTGCTTCAGCAGCATTATCTGTCTAAAACCAGTGCCTCATTTTCTGAAAACTTTTATGGCTTAAAGCGGATTGTAATGGGAGATACACACAAGCTTCAGAGACTGGCCAGTGCTGGTCTCCCAAAGAAGCAGCTTTGGAAGTCAATTATGTTCCTGGTTCTTCTTCCCTACCTGAAAGTGAAGCTGGAGAAACTGGTTTCTAGCCTGAGAGAAGAGGATGAATATTCTATCCATCCCCCTTCTTCCCGCTGGAAACGATTTTACAGAGCCTTCCTGGCTGCCTATCCATTTGTTAACATGGCCTGGGAAGGCTGGTTTCTTGTACAACAGCTTCGATACATCCTTGGAAAGGCTCAGCATCACTCCCCACTGCTGAGTCTGGCTGGAGTTCGGCTAGGTCGACTTACAATTCAGGACATACAAGCTCTGGAGCACAAACCAGCGGAAGCCAGCAGGATGCAGCAACCAGCCAGGAGGTAAGGCCTCAATATCTCCCCAAAATCTTTGATTAATAAATTCTAAAATCTTATCCCAGTTTTATGAAATTCACCTCCCTCAGTCCACTTTGAGGTAGTTCATAAAATCATAGAAAAATTCTTGTGTCCATCAAACAAGGATTTCCATCCTGGTAACTTTCCTCATCATACTAGCTACATTTTCGTGCACACTTGCTATGTGCCAAGCTCTGTGTTAGGTGTTTGCTTTACATACATTATCTCAATCCTCACCACAACTCAATTAAATAAATGCATTAGCTCCATTTAACAGTTGAGGAAACTAAGCCCTAACAGTTAAGTACCTTGGCAAGGCCACACAGCTAGAAGGTGGCAGAGCTGAGATCCAAGCCAGATCAATACAATTCTAAAGACTGTACACTCTTTTTTTTCCCTCCCCAAAGCCCCAGTACATAGTTGTATATTCTAGTTGTAAGTCCTTCTAGTCAAGACTGCTCTTAAGCACGATGCTATACCACTTTCAGTGTTTGTGTTCTCCTACAAGTTCAAATATATTCCTCAATACTGCTAAGTTATTTTTTAAGTTGTTTCTTTTTCTGGATATCTATCTTCCCCCAAACAAACAAACAAAAAAGGACTATGTAATCAATATTTCACTAATTTCTTTCTCAAAACACAAAACAAACAAAACCTTGGTCATTAACAACAAAGCTTAGCTCCTATACTCCTAAAATACTGTAAGTCAGAAAGAGGGAATCATTTAGAATAGATCCCTAAGGAGACAATGCCAATCTAGTAACACTTCAATCCCCAAACTGAATCAGTGATTCTGATGAAAACTGCATAAACACGTTTTCATTAGTCATTCTGTGATTATACCTAAATAAACAATTTCTCCTTTTGCCTCTGTTCTATTCTCCCAACAGCGTTAGTGAGAAGATAAAGTCAGCTCTGAATAAAGCTGTGGGGGGTGCTGCCTTATCCCTCTCTACCGGCCTTTCTGTGGGTGTATTCTTCCTGCAGTTCCTTGAGTGGTGGTACTCATCTGAAAATCAAGAAACCATCAAATCATTGACTGCCCTGCCTACTCCACCACCACCTGTACACCTAGACTACAATTCTGATTCTCCTCTGTTACCCAAAATGAAGACTGTGTGCCCGCTGTGTCGTAAAACCCGGGTGAACGATACTGTTCTTGCCACCTCTGGCTATGTGTTTTGTTATCGCTGTGTGTTTAATTATGTGAGGAGTCACCAAGCTTGTCCTATCACAGGTTATCCAACAGAAGTACAACATCTAATTAAACTGTACTCCCCTGAGAACTGAGAACAAAATTATTGCACTGTAAGGCCACAGGGCTGGTTTTCAGCATGGTACATAGCATTGTTTGATACTTCTCAGCCTCAATTCATAATTGTGTGAACTTTAAACAACTATATGGATTTCTTTAAAAGGATATACCCATTGATCTTCACCTTTTAGCTTGCTCTCTGGACCCCTATTTAGAGTTGACCAAGCTGGTTAGAGTAAGAGAATCAGGCTTGGCAGGGGATGTGAGGGTCAGTGTAGAGGAAGTAGATAAAAGAGGATAATTAGCACAGAACCTTTTCCTGTCCCCTTCCTTAAAGGACAAGAGGTATAGAAGCTCTCAGGAAAAACCCAAGTTAGACCTCATAAGGTGGGTGGCGACAGGGAAGCAGTCTTTTTCTTTAGGGAAAAAAGCATTTATCTGCCTAGGAGGAATAGGTTTTATCAGATTGCAAACTGTGAAATGTGGACCCGCTCTTCATAGAAATACTTAGAAACAGTTTAGAAAAACTATAGCTCCTTCCATATACTGTGACCTATTTGTTAAGTAACATCTGCTATAGTTTATCAACTTTTAAAGATTTCTTTGAGTCATACATATCTTTCTTGGGAAACTGATTAAAGGAAAATAGGAGTTGAGTGTATATAGAGAGTAGTCTGAAGATTTCAGTGTAAAAGCAAAGCTAATAAGCAATGAAGAGACGAAGTAAAATACTGATCTAACTATGACTATGTAAAGAAAGGATCCTTCCATAAGCACTTTCTGCTTCCTGTTAAGAGGTTGCTAAACTGGCATGAATTATTCTGGCTATTACTAAAGTTTCTATGAAACACTTAAGTAAATTTTAAGAATAAACGTTTTTGGCAAAGAGCTGTTACATGTTGTCATGATTATGCTGAAACTGGAAGATTACCTGAGGTGTTTAAGATAAATTTTTCATTAAAACTATCTTTGATTTTTTTGAGGTATTTTTGTGTTAACATTTTGCTTTTTTTGGTAATCTTTACTTGGGAAAAAATATCCTCTACTCCCACAGCGAGAATTCAGCCTTGTGTGAAATACCTTGTATCAGAAATACTACAGAAACACTTAAGTAGCCTATGTAGAAAAATTCATATTAACGCTTTTATGTACCATAAGAGTATAATGGATATTTGCAAAAATTCTTGTTAAACCGCAAAGTTTTACCAAAACAAATACCCTAGTTAATTAAACATTTTAATAAATAAGTCAGTAAGGGAACTGAACCAGATTTAGGATTGAAATAGCGTAGTCCTCTGTGAAGGTATCAAAGCCAGATTTTTCACCTCAACCTAAGAAGGAAAACATCAAAGTATCAGTAATTCAAAAGAATATCAAAGAAACATTCATACATAATAAAACCAGTATCCAAATAGGCTAGAACATACCAATGTGGAAAAACCACAACCAGAATCAGCTCAGAGAGAAGATTAAGGGATCATACCCTGGTCAAAGCCAACACTGAAGCAATGGCAATACCAGGTCAGACTATACTTCACTCATCATCGCATCACTGCATTTCACCTCCTTGTATTATATAAGAGCAGCCCAAAACCCTATTTTCACATCCAAGAAAATTTAGGTTTACTTATGAAAAACCTTCTTTTTAGATAAGTTTCAACCATGCACTTTTTTTTTTTTTTTTTTATAATTTTATTTATTTATTTTTCCCCCAAAGCCCCAGTAGATAGTTGTATGTCATAGCTGCACATCCTTCTAGTTGCTGTACGTGGGACGCGGGCTTCAGCATGGCCGGAGAAGCGGTGCGTCGGTGTGCGCCTGGGATCCAAACCTGGGCTGCCAGCAGCAGAGCGCACGCACTTAACCGCTAAGCCACCGGGCCGGCCCCCAACCATGCACTTTTAATAAATATTTTGTCTTCCACTGTGTTTTGCTTTAAGTAACTGCTGTACAAAACTGCAAACTTGAACAAGTTTTGTTTTGGGGGGGCTTTTTTGTGTTTTAAATAGGAGAGTGGAGGGGGCCGGCCAGTGGCGCAAGCGGTTAAGTGCGCGCGCTCTGCTGTGGCAGCCTGGGGTTCGAAGGTTCAGACCCGGGTGCACACCGACGCACCGCCTGGCAAGCCGCGCTGTGGCGGTGTCCCATATAAAGTGGAGGAAGATGGGCATGGATGTTAGCCCAGGGCCAGTCTTCCTCAGCAAAAAGAGGAGGATTTGCAGATGTCAGCTCAGGGCTGATCTTCCTCACCAAAAAAAAAATAATAATAAAATAAATAGGAGTGGAGAAGCATTTATAGTTCAAAAACATTTTTTTTAAATGAGCCCAAATACCATGTATGATAATATCTCAGGGATGTCTGTGAAGGGATTTATAGTCTTGTTCCAAAGCAAAAGCTTTAGAAAAGATTTTCTACTAAATTCTTTTATAAAGTAAACTCCAGTTCATTTAACATATAATTTGATTTACAATTCTGCTGCCAACAAAAATAAATAATCATAAAATTTTTAAACTAGTATCTTCTATCTTAAGAGTCCAAAACCCAGAGAGGCTCTGGTTTGCCCAAGGCCCGTAGCAAATTAACAGCAGAGCTGGAAACAGAAATGAGGTCTGATGACTAGGTTTATATTTTTCCACTACCAGCTAAATATAAGGTTTAATTTCATTTTTCTCCAGGCCATGGGCAAGATAAAGGAAGCAATGTAAAGCCTAGGTAATTCACAACCTCAATAATCAATTTCTGAGTGAGAAAGCTGATTGCATTTTATTTATTCTAAATGAAACTCTCTGGTGGTATATTATCGCTGACATGGAAAAGTACTAGGATCATAAACAATGTCACCCTCTCCAGCCTTTCAGCATGTCATTGTCAGTATCTAAAAAACAATTCTGGAGACACCACGTGCTTCCTTCAGACATCTATACACGTCAATAGATTGATACTCCATAGTTAAAAACTGACAGCTGTTGGTCTGTGTTCACCATTCAGCAACTAAGCTCCATACAGAGAGGGAAATAAAGTGTCTGTTTTACAGGGGCTATGCTGAGCCTTTCATGATCTTCTACAGGTGCAGCAAGTACACGTTAAAAATGAGGAATCAAGCTGAAAGAACTAACTACATAAAAGCATGAAACTTGTGAGCAGAGCTGCAAGTGTGCTCCAGCTATACGCAGCAAGCACATTTTCCTAGTTCTCTTCCTCAGTACACTTTGCTCCACCTGGAGTGCCTCCCCCTTCCCTTTCAATCTGGAGAACGCCTCATTATAGTTTTAAAACCTACTCAAATGTCACCTTCTCTGTTAAGTGGTCCCCACTCCCTCAGTCGTGCCCTTCTCGGACTCCTACCGCACTTTTCCCCACCACAGCACGCATGACACGCCAGTTACTCACCCATTCACGTCCTCCACCTCCCTCTCTCTCCCACCAGCCCCATCACACCGAGTTCCTAAAGAACCAGGACTGTGGCATATTGGCCTTTGCATCCAGCACACTCAGAATGGTGCCTGCTACCTAAGAGGAGGCTCAATAAATGAGCGTCTTATTCAGTCAATGAGCGACCCTCCCTACTAAACCCTGAACTCCTACATTATAAAAGGATCAGCATAATTGATAAAGCCTACTTACCTCCAACATTTCACGTAAGGGCCGCCTCAAGCATCTCTAAGCCCTCCTTCCCCCAGCTACCTCATGGCGCCCTGCGCAGGACAACCAATGCTTACACACAGTGGACCCTCAAAAATAAGGTCTAAACCCCACAACTTCGGGAAAAACTGGGAAAAGCCGTCCTTGCGGGGAAATACGAATAAGGCCGGAGCCAGGGCTCAAACCAAAGACCCACGCAGGAGTCCACATCTCGCTTTCCGAACTTCTAAAGCTGCCACGCCCTAGACTCTCAAAAGGCTTGCCCCAGCGTGCGGAGGCTGATAGCAGCCGACTCGCGGCCCTTAGGTCCCGGGCAGTACCCCTTCCCGCCTCCCGCCCTCCTCCGCTTCGCTGCGCCGCCGGCGTCCCACCGCCCAGTGCGGCCCTCGCTCGACAACCAATCACGCGGCGCCCAGACGGTCACGTGACTCAAGGCGTGAGGCGGCTGGTGCGAGGGGCAGCCAATCGGAGGGCGAGGCGAACGTCAGGGGTGGGGCGGACCGGGTGGCGGAAGTGCCTTCTCCGTCGCTCCTTTGCGTGATGTGCTCCATCCTTAGAGTTAGGGCAGTGGCGTTGCAGGGTTTCGTCGGGTCCCGCCCGCTCCCAGATACCGGGACCGCTGTGAGGGGTGCTTTTGCCGGTGGCTTGTTTCACAACTGGAGAAGGCCGTCTGAGGCAGTTGTGCCCTGGGTTCCCCGGAAGAACTGTGGATTCAGACAGTGACCCAACAGTATTTATTGCGCTTGTCCGGATTCGCGCCTGAGGGCTAGGGCTTGTAGTGGACTCAGATGAATGTGTCTCTCTCCGTCCAGGAGAACTCATTGGCTCTCTGGGCGCTTGGACGCTTCGTAAATAAGCAAGAGGTGCCACAAGAAAAGTCCAGCTAAATATTAAAGAAGTGCGAAGGAGAGCAGGAAAGACTTCCTGGGAGAGATGGCATTTGATCTGGGTCTTGAAAAATGGGTGGGATTTGAGAATTAGGAGATACCGGGAGAAAGAATAATTTAACTCCTGAATTAAATGAGAAAGCATAGGGGAGCTTACCAAATTTAGGCCAAGTCGAAACGGTACAGTGTTCCTCAAAATTTGGCGAGTTAGAAACACCAGGAGGAAACAACATAGATGTCCTCCATCAAAAAACAAAACAAAACAAAAAAACAGCAAAAACTCAAAAATGCCTGTGGCACAACCCGGGTTTACTGAATCAGATATTCTGGGGTTGGAGGCCAGGCATGTATATTTTTAATAAGTGCCCCAAAGGTGATTCTGAGTCATACCAAAGTTTGAGGACCAGTGATAAAGGGGTGGTAGGAGATTTGAAAGACAGGTCAAGACTTTGTTAAGGATGGTGGCTTGCTAGCTGTGTTGTTTAGACTACTCTGGAGAAAGTGGGAGATTTGAAGATTTCAGAGCCCGAGGAGATAGGTGATCAGAACTGTACCTTAGAAAACTCAGTATGCAACTCTGTTTTTAAATAGATTGAAAACAGGCAGAATGAAAGCAGGGGAAGCTGTTGCAAGTGATTGCAATGGTCCAGGTGAGAGCTAATAAGAGCCTAAATTAGGACTGTGGCAGTGGAAATGGAGAGGTAGCATATGCAAGGCAGCATGAGGAGTATGATGAGGGTCAGATAGGGATGGGGAGGACATGAAGAAATAAAAAGGAAGAATGGAGAAAAATGGAGGGTCTTTGGTACCAGACCTACTAAGGACCTCCATTGTACTTTAAGGATAGGAGAGGTTAGACAGTGAAGAGAATGTGCCTTTGTGTGTGCTGTTTCCTCTGCCTGGGTTTCCCTTCCTTCTCCATCTCCCTTTCTCAGTCTGGTGCATTCTTACTTGCAGGTTCCAGCTCATATACCATCTCATTTATGAAATCTTATCTTATTCTCACAAGCATAGTTATTGTCACTCCTCAGAACACGCAGAGCACACTGTTCCTACCGTGCTAGCTCTCCAGAGTGGCACTAGAGTGTAGTGGTCATGCATATAGACTATATTTGCAAGCACTGTGAACTCTCTGTTCCTTAGTTTCTTCATCTGTGAAAAGGGAATAATAACAGCACTTACCTCAGAGAGCTGTTATAAGAATTGAATAAGAACAGTGCCTAATACACAGAGTGCTCAACTGATGTTATTGTATATGTTGTACTGCAATGAGTTGTTTAATGCCTGTTTTCCCTCTCTAGATTGGGAACAGGACGTGTCTTGTTCTCCTGGCTAACAAGAAGGCTGCATGGCAGAATGATAGTAAGTTTTGGAATCAGACAGACAGGGGTTCATATCCCAGCTCTACTACTTACTAGGTGTGTAACTTTAAACTTTACTTCCCTGAACTCAGGTTCTTCATAATACATGTCTTACAAATTCTTATGAGGACAATTTGAGATAATCAAAGTTGCATATCTGGCCCAAAGAAGGCAGTCACTAAACGGCAGTTTTTATTTTGATGTGTGCCCCAGAGAATAACACCATGTTTAGAACACAATAAGTGCTTAATAACTGATTATTGAATGAAAAACTGACATTATATGCCAGAAACCATGCTAAGCTCTTTATGTACGTCGTCTCACTTCATTCTCACAAGAACTCTATGGAGAAGGCATTATTATCTCCAGTTTACACAGAAGGAATCTGAGGCTTAGATTAGCTTAACCACATTTTCAAAGTCAGACAGTGCCAGAGCTAGGATTTCAACACCCTAGGTGCTCGAAAAATAGCTGATTGAATGAAAGGATAAATGAAAGTTAGGAGACTTATCCAGAATCAGGTAGAACCAGCACTGTTGCTCATTCATCTCTGAATGAATTGAGGGTGAGATGGAGGCTGGTACTTGGCTATTCTTGTCTCGTGTGCACGAAGATTGTGCTGTAACTACCTCTGCTAATAAATTGAAATGCTTAGTGAATAAACACATCTTAAATAAATTGGGAGTTCTAGTTCTTGGCCAATTGTCAACAGCATAGCCAGATCACCTTCCC